ACAGTCTAAAACAAACGTCTCGTCAATGATATTTAAAATTTCATGGAATAATTTCTTTATTTGGATTTGTTGAAAATCCCATTAATGTTTATACCAGAAGGTTAGTGGGAGTAAGATTTGTTTTCTTATTTTATGCGTNTTCCGCTAGCGGAAGCCTGATGTATGCTCAAATCTGCACAAGGCCTGGCAGTGCATTTGCTATAGGAATGTTAGGACGATATCAAAGTAATCCAGGTATGGACCACTGGAAAACAGTAAAGAAAGTAATGAGGTACCTTCAAGGAACCAAGAATTATATGCTTATGTATAAACAAATGGATAATCTGGAAGTGATTGGATACTCGTATTCAGACTTTGCTCGCTACGTTGATTCACGAAAATCAATATCAGGATATATTTTTATGATGGCTGGTGGAGCTGTATCATAGAGGACTGCCAAGCAAACCTTAACTGCTATTTCCACTATGGAAGCCAAGTTCGTTTCCTGTTTTGATGCTACTTTGTATGGTGTATGGATCAAGAGTTTCATATCTGGCTTAGAGTTATGGATTCCATTTCTAGGCCATTAAGAATTTATTGCCACAATTCGGTTGCTATCTTTATGGCTAAGAACAACAAAAGTGGCAGTCGAAGTAAGCATATTGACATTAAACATTTAGCCATAAGATAACGTATTAAAGAAAAAAAAAGTGGTCATTGAACACGTAAGCACCAAATTGATGATTGATGATCATTTAACTAAAGGCATGCCCCCATTGAAATTCAAGGATCATGTAGAGAAAATGAGATTTGGTTCTACTATATAATTGTATATATATAATTTTGTATGAAACTCTTATTTGTTGTGATATTTTCTCATATTCATGCACACCTTAAGTTATTTGAGAAAATACATTTATGTCTGACCAAGAATAACATATAAGGTCTTTCATTAAGTATTGTTGCCACGTAAAGAATAATTCTTGAGGAACTAAACACATTGTAATACATGGAAGATATTACTCGTTGTCGGAGGACACATCGCCATGATTCATGTGTTTGTTTCTTAAAAAAGACAATCGATGAGATTGAGTTGAAACATTAGGCTAAATATATATGGACCAAGTGAGAGGATGTAACACGTCCGTCTCTTCACATTCCCGTTGAAGTCTCTTCCCATTTCTTCAACGGTCATGTTGATGGTCCAACATTCATGAGGTTTACTGTTTCAACATTTATGGAATTCAATTTCACCATCAATTGATTGGTAACTTAAGCCATAACTTGATGGGAGTTTTAGCTATATAAATGGGTGGGTTTTGGTCCCTGAGCTTGACCGCCGAAAATATAGCATACACCATCAATTAAGAGTGTTGAGAGTTTAGAAGTGTCATTACCTGGAACAAAGGAAAGCTTCGGAACGACACCAATGGCTGGAGGTATGATCTATGGGCATTCATTTTTCTCGATCTGTTTTCACCTTAAATATTAGATCGATTTTTAGTCTTACAAATTTATGTCTATATTTGGTAATATTTCATGTAGAACTTCACATTTTCCAGCAACTATAATTTTATAAATATTTTATATTTAATAGCTCAAAACTTTATTCAGTCTAAAGAATAGGGAAGATAATGAGAATTTACAAATTTTTCATTTTGAATTTTAGGAAATATTGGAGAATTTTAGAAATAGTAGTTGTAATTTTGTCATGCAGTTGCAGTTGTAACACAAAAAATTATATTATTGCAGCAATAAGTTTAATATGTTTGTTTTTAATTAAAAAAAAACTTTTTTAAATATGTTCTTTTAATTTCCTCTCGATTCATTTTGATTCAATAAATAAACTATTTGATCAAAAGTGGAAAAATAAGATAGCTTCAGAAGAAAACAAACTAACTAACTAATTTATGGGTCGGGATATAGTAATGGGCCTATTTTGAATGAAACAGGTGTAGTATGACTTCTGAATAGGGGAAATTACACAGAAGCCGGTATTTGAAGATTACTGTACAAAACTCAGGTGCCAACTTTAATTAATCATATATCAGGTATAATTATATATTTTAGTATTAATATTAATATTACAATTAATCAAACTCTCCCAATTCATCCCAATCTCATTTTCAAAACGTAAATATCTCTCTCTACTCTCTCCGTCTCTCTTTATTCTCTCTCCGGTCGCCAATCACCACCATTCGGTGATTTCACAGTCAAATATCACCAACACGAATCCATCCCATCCCAACCCCACTCCAACTACACCCAAACCACAAATTTCTCCACATTTGACATTTCGTCTTTGAAGTAGAGGATGGATTTTTTTCCCCATTTTCTTTATTCTCTCTCTACTCTCTCCGTCTCTCTTTATTCTCTCTCCGGTCGCCAATCACCACCATTCGGCGATTTCACAGTCAAATATCACCAACACGAATCCATCCCATCCCAACCCGACTCCAACTACACCCTAACCACAAATTTCTCCACATTTGACATTTCGTCTTTGAAGTAGAGGATGGATTTTTTTTCCCCATTTTCCTCTTCTCAGCAAAAACGGCATTTGGTGCTTTTTTTTCATCATTTTCCTCTTCAACGGTTGGTGATGGCATTTTGTGGAGATTTGGTTTTGTGGCTTTGGTCCACAAGTAGAAGAGACTTGGTTTGTGGTATTTTGTGTGTAAAGTGGTATGTTCAGGTAAATTGAAGGGGTGGTGATGGGGAAGTCTCGTAATTGTGGATCAATGTCTACAGGTGGTTGTGGTGGGGGTGTGTAGGAGGTGGTAATGGTGGTGGATTTGCATCTGGTAACTGTGGTTTAAAGTACATCTGGGATTGTGGTGGCGGCGGCGTGTAAGAGGTGGTGATGGTCAATCACAATTTGTTTATAAGTCATAGATCACAATGTGTAGGTCACAAATCAATATCTACATGTCACTGTAACTAGGTCACAGATCAATGTAGACAAGTAACGTATCAACTAAAATTGATCACATATCAATGCCTATAAGTCACAGATCAATTTAATTGATCACAGATCAAAGTGCACAGGTCATAGATCAATTAAATTTGGTCGTAGATTAATGTTCATAGGTCACAGTTCAATATCCACAGGTCACATGTTACATGTAATTGGTATCAGAGTGCATAAGTCACGGGTCACAAATTCAATTAAGTCACATATCAATTAAAATTGATCATGGACCAATGCCTATAAGTCCTAGACCACTTTAAGTGGTCACAGATCAAAGTCCATAGGTCATAGATCAATTAAAATTGGTCACAAATTAATGTTCATAGGTCACAGATAAATGTTCACAGGTCACAGGTTACATGTAATTGATCACGTATCAAAGTGCATAGATCACGGGTCTCAAATTCAAGAGATCTGGTCACATGTCGTTGATTGCTTTGACCTCAGTTATCCGAACTGGTCACAAATTCAATTAACCAGATTTCGACGATGAAAATTGAAATGATTTGCTCCGGTAGGTACTCTGTTAATTACACTGGTAGTTCTTTTTTAATGATCGGTTTTGAATTTTACTAACATTGCTAAGTGTTGCTGAAGAAGATGATCACTTACCAGCGATGCTCAGTTGAAGTTCTCCAATGGTCACTATATTTCTCCGTTTATCTATATTGTTTGAGTCGATGATGCTTAGTTGTTACTACGCGACGATTAGCTTGTCGCTCAAGAATTTGTCGACGACGGTAAGAATGGGTGATGACTAGTAAGAGTGGGGTGGGGTGTGGACGGTTGTTTGATGGGGTGGGCGTGATTAGATTAATTTTAATTGATAATATTATTATTTAAAATTAAAATATTGAATGAACACCTGACTTTTGAATTTTTAAACTTAATGTCTGAAAATTGATTTGGTGTAAATTTAATCCCTGACTTATGATTTTTTCCCTTCTGAATATATGTGGGGAAGTTTCACAAACAGCCTAACAAGTTCCTCCTTTTTTTATTATCAAAGAACTGTTTTTTACTTATTATTTTATAACTTTTTCACTCTACTTTTTTCATTTTTTTGTTACAAACTTAGCTACACGTGTAACAATGTATTACGCTCATATTACACGTGCGTTATTATATTGTGCATATTCCGCAAGTTTTCACCATTATCGATGTCAAAAAAATTCATTAACGTTACCGCTGCTTCTTGTTATCACCAACACCACCACCAAAGCCAATTTCCTTCGCTACATCAAATTCTACACAACCATCATCATCATCCCCACTGCCACCATCACAAATGACATCAAGACGCCATCTCACCACTAGCAAAACTAAAAATCACCACTATCAATGCCGCCACCACAAAAAACCATCATCACCGTCACCCGTTTTACCAACACTAAATCACTCGCCATAAAAAATCTTTAAAAGCGTTCAACAATCTTGGAAAAAAATTCAAAGGAATCACAACCAAGATTGTCAGATCTTGGAGGTTGTTGTACGGCGATGACATAACAATAATTATTTATTTATTTATTTTTGGTTACTGAATCTTTGTCGATAAATTAAATTTGTAAATAAGATTTTTAATAGTTGCAACAAAAAATTTATGACTTGAAAATTTTGTTGATAAAACTATTTAAAAAAAGACAGTTCTTAGTATTGAGGGTGTTCACTTAATTGCCAGGTAGTCCTGGCCCAGTAATGGCGAGAACACGCCATTAAGAGCATCTCCAAGAGGCTCTTTAAAAGTGGGATGCTCTCTATTTTAAATAGCCAATCTTTAAAATTTTACTCCAAGAGACTCTTCAATTTAACATTTTAAAATAGAGAGTAGGTTTGACTCTCCAAATTTGGAGAGCCAAACCCAACTCTTTATAATTTAATGCTTCAAAGATTCCAACTTCCAATGCACAGTTTATTGACTTAATTAAATAATATATGCAAATCTCAATATCTCTTCATTGAATCATTGCAACGGCCATTTTTTCAACCCATGCATCTGTTTCAGACGTGCTCTATATATACATTGCACATATATCTCTTCTTTTTCTACAACATGGATATTCAAACCAGCATGGATGAAAATCAATATAATGATACAAATGAAAACCCACAATTTTCAACTCAATATCCCAATTTTGATGATCAATTTCCTGTGTCAAATACTCCATTGGAACCCAACTCCAAAAGATTAAGAGGTGGAAACTTTACTGTGGAAGAGGATCTTCTCATTGTGTCTGCGTGGCTTAATGTTAGTTTGGATGCACTACATGGAAATGAACATAAACAAAAGGCTTTTTGGACTCGATTGTGGGAATACTTTCACAAGTACAAGAAATTTGCATCTACACGAACACAAGTTTCTTTGATGAACCGTTGGTCAACCATTCAATTGGCTACAAATAAATTTTGTGGATGCTATGCCCAGATTGAATCTAGAAACCAAAGTGGTGTTAACGAGCAAGATAAGGTATTTACGATAGTTTTTATTTTGATATAAATATTATTAATAATTCATATCTAGTTTTATTTTACAGATTGCTAATGCAAAACTCTTGTACCAAGAATTAATTAAAGGCAAACATCCATTCCAATTTGAACATTGCTGGAATTTGCTGAGGTACCAGCCAAAGTGGTTGGAAGATTGCCAAAATAAAAAATCGATAAGAAATAAAACCGTAAGTTCTTCCTCTGATTTCACCTTTGGTAACACACAAGAGACTCATGTGGATCTTCCAAATTCTAACTCTGTGGACTTGGAAAGACCACCTGGAAGAAAGGCCGAAAAAGATCGAAAGAAGATGAAGGATAAAGATACTAGAAATGACTCATCAAGTGCATGTGTGACTTTGTTACAAGCAATGAGAGAAGAAAAGAAACAATTCAATGAGAAGAAAATAGAAATGTTTGAAAGACAATATGCTCAAGAACAAGAGAGACTTGCCTATGAGCAAGAAAAGCTTCGATTGGAACAAATGAAAGAGGATGAAAGAATAATGATGATAGATACAACTGGAATGCCTCAAATGCTTGCAGATTTTTATATGCAACGTCAAAAGGAAATTCTTGCAAAAAGAACTGTAGGGCGTTGAATTTAGCTTGATTAGGGGAGCAACTAAAATCTGCTGGAGCAGATCCATGAGTAATTGCTTACATATTGTGGGTTAATAACTGGTTCTTTTTTCTCATGTAAAAGTCCATTATGGGGTAGAAATTGCTATGTTCATCATTATGCGAAATTCAGTAGATTCTAGCATGTGAATTTAGCTTTATCGAATTAGCAACTAATTTATCTTTATGTAGCTTGAATTCCTTTTTCTTCATTTCTTAAACATTTGCATAAAAGCAAAGAGAAAGTAAAGAAATAAATCATTTCAGAAACTCTCAAGACTGGGATAAAACATAAGAACATATAATTCTAGAAGTTAATTCATAAGATCAAGACATGCTTTGATCTCCATGTGTATTCCAAATGTGCTCAATAAGGTCTCTTTGTAGCTGAGAGTGAACATTTCTATCTCTAATACGATGATGTCCTTGTATAAATTTCAAAAAGTCCGTTGTATGCTCATGTGAAACCGATATGTTCGGAACTTCATTAACCGCCTCATAATTGAAGTCCATATTAGTATTATGTTGTTCATATTCAACAATCATATTATGTAATATGATGCAAGCTTTCATGATATCTTTTAGAGTTTCACGATGCCAAAAACGTGCTAGTCCACGAACAATTGCAAATCGTGATTGCAACACTCCAAATGCTCGTTCAACGTCTTTTCTTGCAGATTCTTGAGCTGTAGCAAATTGTTTATGTTTGTTATCTACTGGATATGGAATTGTTTTCACAAAAGTTGACCATGGAGGATATATACCATCAGCAAGGTAGTATCCCAAACATATCAATAATGGTAACTAACTGTAGTTGGCTGGGGGAGCACGACCTTCAACAAGGTCTCTGAATAAAAATGATCTATCTAGAACATTTATATTATTATGTGATCCTGGCAGTCCAAAAAATGCATGCCATATCCAAAGATCATGGGAAGCTATAGCTTCTAGAATTATAGTTGGTTCACGAACATGCCCAACGTACATACCTTTCCATGGACAATTTTTCCATCTCCAGTGCATACAATCAATACTCCCCAACATTCCAGGAAACCCACGTTTTTCGCCTTCCTTTAGCAATCTGGCAACATCTTCTTTGTTTGGTGTTCTTAAGTATTTATCTGAAAAGATTGAAACCACAGCCTTAACAAATCGTTTTAAACTCTCAATTGTAGTGCTTTCACCAATTCGTATGTATTCATCAATAAAATCTGCTGCAACTCCGTAGGCAAGCATCCTTAAAGCAGCAGTAATTTTTTGAAGAGAAGACAAAGAAAGAGTTCCAGCTGCATTCCTTCTTTGGACAAAGTACGGGTCATGGATTTCTATAGCAGACTGCATACGAATAAAAAGGGATTGGCTCATTCGAAACCTTCTTCGAAATAAATTTGGAGAATACACAGGATCCTTTCCAAAATAGTCGTTAAAAAGCTTGTGGTGACCAAGAATTCTATTGCGGAATATATATTTATGACCCTGTATTGAGCCTTGACGTAGTATCCGTCTTCTTTTATTGAGCAACTCTCCATCTAAAAATGCTATTGCCATCTCCATATCATCATCGGAGTCAGAGTCATCAAGAATCAATTTGATTAATCTACTTGAAGACATATTTAAAAAGAACACAAATGAAAGATAATATATTTTTTTCTAAAATGACTAGGCCTTGAATTTGTTTGGAATGACGTGAAATGAAGACCAGCAGTTCATAAAGAAGAAAATGGAGGGAAATGGAGGGAAATGATATAAGTATTGGAGGGAAGATGGTAAAAAATAAAAGAATGAAAAAAAAAATACGTATTGGGAGTAGTAAAATTAAATGTTAAAAATAAAGAGGCTGTTGGAGTACTTTAAAATTTTTGCTCTTTAAATTTATAGATGCTCTCCAAATGATAGAATATGCTCTTTAAAAATAGAGAGTCTCTTGGAGATGCTCTAAGAATTTATAAAATATTATGCCTCAATAATGAAATAATAATAATAAAAAATCAACTTTCAGA